GATTGAATGAAAATAAAATTGGACTTGCATGGCTTTTAGCCCATGTCTTTGAGACCATCTACACCATGTACTCCTGAACATCAACAAAATAAACTTTTAACATGTATATGGATTTTTTTCCAGTGAAATATTATCTAAAATGAGAATCTCTCTTTCCGCAATGCCACACATGTGAAACTGAAGCCTACTGGCTATTGAAAAAAGACAGGGGAGAGCTGTATGTACCACTCAAAACATCCTGCTTCAATGGGAAAAACAATGTGAACTGACAGAAAATGATGCTCATTCCGTTGGCACTACAGGGAAAAAAAAAAGAGATGTCCTGTAGAATTTCTTTTCACTGCATGCTATCCTAAGTTTCTCCCTCTCAGGCATTGTCAAACATCAGGAGATAAGCTTAGCCAATGACTTATACAGGCTATGAAACAAACTAATCAAATGTTAAGCCCAATGGGCAGACATATTACAATGTTATTGTTGGATGGATGGATGCTGAAAGAAGAGATTGCAAGACCTCCTCAAGGGGTCCATGTGCACATTACTGATTTCCCTGATGCAGGAAAGACAAAAGCTTTTCATAGAGACTCTTCAGACAAATGTGTCTTTAACCTCACAGTGACTTCAAACTCATTACTCATTACTCCCACTGCCTATCTTGTTAATTTGAACATGATACAAGATAACTTTGCTGGGTATGTTTATCATTGACTTCCTGAATTTGTTGTGTAGAGCCAATCATGTTCATGGTAAAATGCACGGAGACAATGAGAACAATGCAGTTTTAATGCTGTACATAACTTAAAGCATTTTATATTCTTGTTAAGAATAACTGAGCAGCTTTCATGCCAGTACAATTATTGTTAAATGTTCAAGGTGAATACTGTACGATGTGCACTTTTTTTTTCTCTCCTCTCAAACATTATGGTCATGATAGTAATGAAAGAAAAACTGATTATGTGCTGTCTTGAGAGGAAATGCTAAGTTCAATTTAGACCCTATAGTATGAAATGCTATTACGATATAACCAATAATGTTTTATACAAGTCCTTTCACACAATGTCTTGCAAAATATGCAATGTAAGGAGAGATGCCTATGATTTTTACAGTGTGTCTTCATGTGAAGGGTGTGGTGCTTCAATGGAGTGAAGCAGTAAATTATAGTATTTTGTAGTGCTGGGCGGTATACCGGTTCATACCGAATACCGGTGTTTATTTTTGTTATGATATGAATTTTTAAAATACTGCAATACTAAATACTAAATCAGTATGTCGCTTATACAACGTTCGGAACGCGACACTGTTTGAAAGGGGTCTGTTTTCACTGTTGCACTGTGGTGAGGGAACAGCTGTATGTGTTACTAAGCGTGAAAGTTCCGAAACTGAAGCGCTAATAGAACGTGATGACAGAAGAACTCATCCACAATATCCACATTGACCGCCACAAATATCCACCGCCCCCTGCCATCAGCTCCCGCTTCTCACACACACGAGCGCGACTTTAGCACTAGATTTAGCAACTTTCAGACCCTTTTAGCGGCTTTTTTCCATAGAATATTCATACTGACAAACCTAGCGACTTTTTTGGATAAACCTTAGCTATGGTTCAGTTGGAAGATTTCTCCAGTGCTGTCCCGCGAACGCGAGGTCTGACTTTCCCGGAGAAGTGTCACCTCTCTCGGTGTCTGTTCTGTGCAGTGAGCGGCAGAGAAGCTGCGCATTCAGTTGGCCGCACCGCAGCCAGCTCGTCAATAAATGAGTACAAAACAGCGTTTCCTAGCACCTGTTGCTTACTGATTGTTTGGAATTATAAATATGAGCGTAGTTCGTCTGTTAATATCACATGCACTTTTTTGTTTGTTGTTTTTTTTTAGTTTGTTACTCAGACGCAGGCAGAGCGCTGCATGAGACAAAAATGTAATATAGCCAAAACAACCGCATAGCTGCTCTTTAGTGTAGATGCATGTTGATTTTATCAGACGATGCCGCGATTATAAATGAGTGACTCCTGGTTAACATGTATTAAAAGGGGTCGTGTTTAGTCACTATTTAGTGTGGTATTTTTTGACAATATTCACTCATCATGACAGTAAAATAGGGCATTCTAAGTCAATATACTGCAGTATTTCCTCTCTCAATCAGTAGAAAATATGGTTAACACCCGGTCATGCATGAAAAAAAAAATACCGTCATGTACCGTGAAACCGGTATAATTTTGAAAAATACTGTGATATAAATTTTTGGTCATACCGCCCAGCACTATTTTAAAGTATCGTATCGTTGGCTATGCATCGAGATACGTATCGTATCGGCCTGAGTCATGAGATGCACATCCCTATAGCGTACACATGAATGTAATATACATTTGTAAAAAAAAAAAAATTGCGCACAGTTTTAAAAAAAATTAATAATATTATTTACTCTTTCCAGACTTTTTTCAGGATTTCAGCCATAACAAAACTGTTGGTCATAAATCACCTTGTTTATTCTTTTTTGCTATTTTTTTCCTCCCACCCCCTGTGGACTGTCTGATTATCAGATGGCTCATCATCACTCAAACAGAAGTGCACTGATGCGCTTTTTTAGCTGCAAGATTTTCATACATGAGTATGCGTGAATGATTGTTTATGGTTATGCCTCAAGATATCTTTGTGGTCCACAAAATATGTGGATGTTTTTGAATATTTTCTTTTGCTTGCATCCTCAGGCTTATCTTTAAACCACCGTTGCTGGCATGTTTGTGAATCATCAGTTCAGAATGGTTGTATTTTTTTCTTTTTTCCTTCTTTTTTTACCATCTGTGGGCCAGAGAACTTTTGAAGAGGCACAGCATTTTCTGAAACGGATGTCATTGTCCGTTTGTCAAAAGAATAAAAAGAGAGTGCAGAAAAACAAACCTTGCTGACTTTCTGCTTGTAATGAACAGAATTTTCCACAATTGTGCTATTACAGCTCCTGCTGATGTCATTAGCGGGTTTCTGAACTTTATTATACGCTGTCACAAGTGACATACATCCCGCCGGAGGTACAGGGAAACCAGGGAGCGATGGAGTAAAAATTTAAGAAGAATGTTTGGTTGGAGGATGGATGAAAGAGACAGATGCTTCAGCACAATCTTTAGAAAATCTGTAGTTGCCATGACAACATTTTTGTGTTGCGACTGCAGAAAAAAAAAAGTGTGTTCAACTGAACGAATTCCCATGTGTCAATTTCTGTATTATAGAGACACAAAATTTAAAACAGGAAACCAATTTGTAGGCTTGGTTATATTGTCTGGAAAAAGCAATGTTCTTTGCACAGCTTTAAATAGAGGCTGCATAAACAACATGTGCAGAAGCAAAATGCGAAACTTGGCAAAAACGAACTAATAATGTGGCAAGCGTTGGTTTTAAATGCATCACTCTTACAAAACCTGTATGATCCTACTTGGTATCTAACAAATAATACATTTGCATTACAATCAATAGCTTCACTTTAGTTGACTATAAGCTCTGTGCATACAGCACATAATTTTGAAATAAAGAAATTGAAACTTAGAAACACCATTTACTTCCAGGTTCACAGTGTTATTTTGGTATTATTTATATACCGTTATATTTTTTATTAATATTTTGAATTAGCTTTCCCAATATATTCCCAAATGTGCATATTGAAATGCTCCTATGATGCCCAAAAATTCCTTGGTGCTCAGCTCATTTAAGGTTTTGAGACATAGACAGCCATTGACATGCTTAGACAGAATTAGCATATTTAGCTGTAGCATCTATTGTGTTGATCTTTGTTGTTCAGGACTCATCTCAAGATTTTTGTTTCTTTCAGACAGTTTGTAAAGTAACTTTTTAGGGCAACTTATAAAATCTACCTGTAGCTGCTGCCTGAGGCTTTGGTTTATCTGAGAGAAATTTCAAGTCTCTGAGGACAGGTTTGACAGTAAGATGAGTCTGTGCCTTAGAGGTGTAGCAACTCGCCTGGTATTTCTGGGAAGGGCTTCGTTCTCTTCAGCTCTGTTCTGATGGTGAGAGGTAAAAGGCATGGGAAAAAAAAGTAATCCTGAAAAAGCTCTTCTCACTGTGGATTTAGACACCTGTTCTTTTGAAGTCTAGCGATCAGCCTTTGTGTATATGAGCGCACAGGCTCAGACGCTTCATCTGTGAAACACTACGACACCCTACTGATAGGGATTGTGAGGTAGTTTAGTGTGACACGGTGTTTTACAGTTGAGGTCTTTTGGAGTTTTGGGCTGGTCTCACTGCTAATTCACAACAGTGTTTTTGGCAGTGTGGCTGGTTTACATGTCCTTATCTGCTGTGTCTTTTGGTTTTTAAACATGTATGATGGGGATGTTTGACAGTGGCCAATTCCAATGGAGTTGTTTGAGACTAAAATTTGAAAGAGACCACAGGTACGCAGCATAGAGTCTGGATGTGGTTGAGACTGCCAAGTATGCATTGAGCAATGTGGAATTGCAAGGATCATAAAAATCCCTATGTTGTCATAAAAGCCAAAGAAAGCAATTTCTCTGAATGCCAAAATGATTTAGATTTACACAATGTTTAAAAATCTTGACTGTCCATGAATAGTTTAGGAAATACCAAATACGTGATTACGCCTAATCATTCTTATTTCAGAATATTGGAACGATTTCTGAAGGATCATGTGACACTGGAGTAGACTTAAGTAATGACTGCTGAAAATTTAGCTTTACCATTAGAGGAATAAATTGCATTTGAATATGTATTTTTATAGAAAATTGTTATTTTAAATTGTAGTATTTTTAATCGAATCAGAAATTTTAATCTAATAAATGCAGCCTTGGTTGAGGAACCAGTGTCTACTGCTGTTTTACAAAAGCTGTGTGTTATGCAACAGCAGCATTGGAGCGCACCGCTACAGGTGAGTTTTTACTTCATAAACATGGTTTTACCTCTCTTGCTCTCTTAAATTCTCTCGCAGGGGAAGAAAGCCAGGATCTGGGTCCTCCTCCATCTGTAGACGAGGCCGCCAACACACTGATGACGCGACTGGGGTTCCTGCTCGGGGAAAAAGTGAACGAAGGGCCTGGTGGAGCACAGTACAGCATGGAGGAACAAGATGACCCTCAGGTTTGATAGACACATTGTGTGCTCTCAGCCGCCCTCGCTCTATCCAGTCTCTCTCATTATTCTTTTAAAAATAATTAAAATGACTTTTTGGCCTAGTGCTTCTCTGCAGCTCAGGGTTTTGTCAGTGGGCGGCTCTCTACCTCAAAAACACAGATTGCTCTTCTTGCTCTCTAAACCATGACAGATGTTCCTGGGTTTTGGATGAACAGCAGCAGTTTGCGCTGGTGTATCCGTGCAGTTCGAGTCTAACTAGGCATGTCTCAGACAGCAGATATTGAAACCCCTGACGCTAGTCTATTTACAGTCCACATTGATCTTAGCCATGATTCTCTAGTTAACATCTGCTTTTGGGTTTTCAGTGCTTAGAAACCTTTCAAGTCAGAAAAATTGAATCCAACATGTGTTCAATTTGATATACAGTACAGTAATATTATATTAATTATGTCAGATGAAATAAAATCTAGTGCTGTTTATTTCTTATTTTTTTTAATAGAATTAACTGCTTGATTATACTGATTATTTAATCTAATTAATTTCATTTGTCAATCCATTATATTATTGTGGTAGTAATATATAAAAAATATAATTTTAATATAGATTTTAACAAGTAATATTTTTGAATATGTATCATAGCTAATTTAATGTGTTAAATAATTGTAACAATTTTTTTTTTTTTTAACTCTGTTTGAGATTTTTTTTCCACAATTACTTTGGTTGAGGAAACTACGGAGCCCCGCACATGACATGCAAGAAAAAATAAATAAATCGTGCACACGATTACTATTTCGTTCCCTCGATTTGCTAAATCGTGCGCACAATTTACTCATTCGTTCTCTCGATTTATAAATCGTGAAATAGTAAATAGTGCGCACAATTTATGAATCAAGGGAACAAAATAGTAAATCGTGCGCACAATTTATAAATCGAGGGAACGAAATAGTAAATCGTGCATATTATATTAATTATGTCAGATGAAATAAAATCTAGTGCTGTTTTTTTCTTATTTTTTTTAATAGAATTAACTGCTTGATTATACTGATTATTTAATCTAATTAATTTCATTTGTCAATCCATTATATTATTGTGGTAGTAATATATAAAAAATATAATTTTAATATAGATTTTAACAAGTAATATTTTTGAATATGTATCATAGCTAATTTAATGTGTTAAATAATTGTAACAATTTTTTTTTTTTTTAACTCTGTTTGAGATTTTTTTTCCACAATTACTTTGGTTGAGGAAACTACGGAGCCCCGCACATGACATGCAAGAAAAAATAAATAAATCGTGCACACGATTACTATTTCGTTCCCTCGATTTGCTAAATCGTGCGCACAATTTACTCATTCGTTCTCTCGATTTATAAATCGTGAAATAGTAAATAGTGCGCACAATTTATGAATCAAGGGAACAAAATAGTAAATCGTGCGCACAATTTATAAATCGAGGGAACGAAATAGTAAATCGTGCGCACAATTTATAAATCGAGGGAATGAAATAGTAAATTGTGCACACGATTTAGCCTACTAATTTTTTCTTGCATGTTATGTGTGGGGCTCCGTAGGAAACTGCCTGGTTAACATAATTAATTGTATTGAAATTCTGGCTTATACCAGCAGATAATGATTTGATAAAATGGCTTTAGAAGTATTGTTGTATGTTAGAATTTTAAGATTAAATTGGTCCAATGATAGAAAAAATACCATGTCATGGAATTAACATACAGGTCAGGGAAAATGGTTAAATGTTAATGGTTAATGTTTTTTTTTTTATATCTATATCTATCTATCTATCTATTAGTGCTGTCAAAATTAAGGCGTTAAATCATTCGATTAACTTTTTCAATTTTAAAATATTTAATGCAATTAACACAGGCGCCCCACTCACAACTGCTGCTTCTCCCTCTTTTTTCTTAACAAGAATTGCGTTTATTTAGATGTTGAATGTCTTTACGACCTCATCAAATGGGAGACTTTTCAGACGCGCACTCCAACTTCACCTCAGCGCTAGTCAAACGAACACGGAAAAGGTACAGGTGACGAGGCAGCATCAATAGAAAAACAGTGAACTGCGGTCAGATGAGATGTTGTCAGGCCATATGTCAGTAAAAACACATTTTTTCCTGTCCTGTCAGCTGTTATACTGTGCTTGCACAAATGCGGCAGCACGTGCTATACAGTGGGTACGGAAAGTATTCAGACCCCCTTAAATTTTTCACTCTTTGTTATATTGCAGCCATTTGCTAAAATCATTTAAGTATTTAAGGGGGTCTGAATACTTTCCGTACCCACTGTATATAATTTCATATTAAAGGGATGGTTCACCCAAAAATAAAAATTCTGTCATTAATTACTCGCCCTCGTGTCGTTCCAAACCCGTATGCGTGTCAGATCTGTCATGTTCAGCAGCGGCAGCTCTTAAAGCAGCCAAAATATCTTAATAACCCAGTTGCTGTGGTGTCTGTTAATCAAAGAACAAAAGAAAAAAGAAGAAATCAAACATTTTTGTAGCTTTAAGGATTCATCTATATTTAATTTAGAATTTAGTGTTTGATAACTTTATTCAATTTCTGTATATTTCCTACTTGCTGAAGGGCACGTGTAAATATGACATTTATTATAATGGGTTTATGTGAAGATTGATTTAAGTTCACTTAAATTAGAAGTTGTTCTTTTTTAAAGTCTAATAAATGTTAAAATTGATAGCTCACAATCATGTTGAATGGCTTTAGTCAATGGTTAAATGTTAGGAAAAAAATTGGTAGTATTGGTATCAGTGATACTTGCCTTCAGTCATAAAAAAGATGTCTTTAAACAAATATAAAAAATATACTCCCTTTGTTGTTTCTACATTCATTTGAAGATTGAATGTGAAATTATTGCAATATAAAAGTATATTTAAAACCTTTTATGTTAGGTGGGATTAATCACGATTAATCGCGATTAATTTCCGAAAAAATTAGTTAATTTTTTTATCGATTGACATCACTAATATCTATCATCTATCTATCATCTATCTACACACACACACACACACACACACACATATATAAACACATTTTTCTTTTTACAAATAATAGCCAACCCTAATTAAAACAATTAAAACAAGTTATTTACAAATGCAAAAGTTCCTAACAGTAACTAAGAATGGAAACAGCCTTGTCGTTTTTTAAAATGACATTTTGTACTCTTGAATGTAGTACTTTTTGGGTTCCGTCTTACGTTCCACAGTTTAAAATCAGAAGCGTTTCATTCCTTCTTAAATGTTCTTACTTTAGCTTGACCTCATCGATCCAGCACATAGTTGGGTTCAGGAATGTATCGCACAATGCAAAGCTCCTGCTGGGCAGAGCTGCTCAAGACCTCCATAGAGCTATTTTAGAAGCTGGACCCTGCCAAGCAAGCATGGTCACCGAAAGGCCACAATTTCTCAAACACCAATTCAAAGCCAATCTTTCCCACGCACACTGAACCCTGAATTGGACAAAAAGGTGTAGAGCTATTTAGACATATTTGGGAAGTTATTGAGTCCGAGATCTGGCTTAGAGCCACTGCTGGTTCATAGTAAAAAGAAATGTGAAGTATTATTATTTTTCAGGGGTTTTCAGTCGTAGTCAACATTCCAATGCAGGTGGTTTTACAGTGCGCCTCAAATCATTAAAACAGCTTTACACATAAAGAAACAAAGATTTCTGAGTGCACATTTAAAGAAAAACAAGGTTAATTTCAGAGATTCAGTCAGAGTAGCTTTATTGTCATTTCAGCTCTATACAGCCTGTACACAGCGAAACGAATCCGCGTTCCTATAGGAACAAAACAAGGACTACAAAAACAAACTGTACACAATTTAAATTATATTTAAAAGGCTGATACAAGAGAGTTAAAGAGTGTAAGAACTAAAAAAAAAGAAGAGCTGGAAAATAACAGAAATTGAACATATGAACACATGTTTTTAGTGTTAGACTTGAATCAAACCCTAATTTGTGAATCAGAACCTTGTTTCATTTTCAAGTGTGATCAACAAATTTATCCTTAAATTGATGTTTTTATGAAAGAACATCCTCTTGGTTTGCAGCTGGATCTCTTTTGGTTGCAAGAAACATGTTATCTAAAGCAACTTCTGGACAGATGTACCAGTGACTGACTGATATTCATATCCATCTGTATGATGTCATTAATGTGGCCCCCACCGCAGACCCAGAGTCAGACATGAACTCGCTTAACCACTTATTCTTTCCATGTCTCTTTTCTACTCCCTCTTTACTTTTTTCCTGTAACTCTTTCATTATCATTCTTTTTGTCTGTTTATGTCTCTCATTTTATCTTTCTCACTCTCTCTTCCTACTGGGTAAAATGATCCACCATCCTGGTCTGTTTTTGTAGCTCATGTCTTGCAGCCAACCACAGCATGCTGAAATAATACACTAATTTCTCTCCTCTTTCCATTTGGTTAAGAGTTGAAAATTCAAAGTTCTCTCAGTCATATACCATAAAGCCAATAACATCGTATTAAATTACATAATATTGAGTCACAGTGGAAAAATTGTTTAAGTCAGCCCAGGCCATAAAAAGAGATAATTCCACATGAGTGTGCAATCCTCAGCAGAAATATGGGACAGCACTGTATCATTAAATACCAGTCAGCAGATTTCCACTTCTGTGGGCATTTTTGTGTGTGAAAGTCATTCAATGGTGCTGCTTTTCTGGAACAGAGCCCTCATATATAAGCAGTGGTGCACTGATATAGCAAAAAATGTAATATACTAATGGTTTAAACAAATTTGTGCTGTTCGTGTTTTATGCATGAGGCCCAGTGAGTGTGTGAATACACCTTCAGCTAATGCATGTTTTTATGTTTGTTTATTAGAAAAAAATGCAATATCCTGCCTTTGTATATGAATATGAACATTATTTTTCTATTTGTTATTACTCAACATTGATAATAATAATAATAACTATTATTATTATTATTATTATTATTTCCCGTTGTTATCATTTATTATATCCCCCTTATAATTTAATAATAACAGATAACAATACAAATTCTATGATTAATATTAATAATCATAAAAATGAATAACATGATAAAAACGTATTAATAATAATAATAATTAGTGCTCTCAAACGATTAATCACGATTAATCGCATCCAAAATAAAAGTTTTTGTTTGCATAATATATGCGTGTCTATTTACATATACATGTAAATATTTTTTTAAATATATACATATATGTTTGTGTATTTATATATACATAATAAATATACACCGTACACACGCATATATTATATAAACAAACACTTTTATTTTGGATGTGATTAATCGCGATTAATCGTTTGACAGCACTAATAATAATAATAATAATAACTGGAACTACTTCATAGCTATGTTTGAAGAACAATTAACCAATAATAATAATAATTTATAAGTAGCAGTACTATTATTATTATTATTAATGGTTTATTTATTGATCTTTGAACATATAGCTATGAGGTAGTTCAGGGCTGACCACATATTTATTATAGAACTTAGAGTAGGATTTTGAACCAATGAGATTTCACTTTGGATGGACAAGCCAGGGCAACGAAATAGAAACCAAGCAACAATTGTCGTTTTCGCTCATTGCTTGTGATTCTTGTGGCAAGTGAGGAGAAACACTCTACCTCTGTTGGAGTTACTGTAATTCTCTAACTCTGTAATTTTGAGGGTGAAATTGTCTTTCTTCTGATGTTCAGGGCATCTCCATGACCCAGAGGATCAGCCCATGCTCTAGCTTAGCTAGCAGCACAGCGTCGCCCCCTCCTGGCAGCCCCTGCTCTACGTTGCCCGCTGGAGCTCCGGGTAACATGGGCACCAGAGACTGTGCTTACGGATCCATCACGAGTCCCACCTCCACCCTGGAGAGCCGAGACAGTGGCATTATTGGTGAGAGACATTCTGTAGCTTGTTTTAGGAACAGAAATGAATGCTAATAATTGATGTACAAATACAAAAATGACAGTTAAAAAATGTCTGTTTCAAATCTCTCGTTGCTTTCTTGCAGCAACGCTCACAAGTTACTCAGAGAATGCCGAGCATGGAGGTAAACACAGCGAGGGCTCTCGGGGGAGCCTAAAACTCTGGCAGGCACAGAAGTCAATGGGTGCAGACTCTTTTCTTTATCGGGTGGATGAAAACATGGCCGCCTCCACATACAGCCTCAACAAAATCCCAGAGAGGAGTCTGGAACATTCCGTCTCTCACTCCGCCCACTCCATCCCCCTCTACCTCATGCCCCGCCCCAACTCTGTGGCTGGTAAGTTTCCGTTTTTCATTTATGGCTATGTTCAGAATACTGTATGAATATGTCAGAATACTATATGTCTATAAGTATTATGTGAAATATAAGTGTGCAGTATGCATACTGTATAATTATTTAAAATTTTTATTCTTTTGGCAGTCAAGTCAAACAGTGAGTTAAGAAAGACGCTGAAATTGCACTTGACAATGTTTCCAGTCTTATTGTAAACTGTGGGATCCAGTGTCCCACACGGTGTGCTCTCAAATTTTGGCAGTTATAGTTGAAAATTTGCATATTGTGTACAGTATACATACTGCCAAAATAGTACTAGGAGTATTAGTAGTTTGCCAGTCCGAACATACCTTATTAGAATAGATTAGATTCAACTTTGTCACTGTGCATAGTACAAAGCCAATGAATCACAAAAGCATCGTACCAATATAAATTTAAATATAGAAATAAATTAAATATAGAAATGTGCCATCTGAAATTTTCTTCTAAAATTAGCATTTTTATCAGGCTCCTATGTTTAGGTTCAGTAATTTTACTTTAATGACAATGTATAGGTCCTTGTCTATGCCATTAAAGTGAAATAAATTAACATAAATACAGGAGCCTGATAAAAATGCTAATTTTAGGTAAATTTCAGACAGCACTTAGAGGCTTTTGCATCTGAACTCTTCAAATGTTTAAATAATTTAATTGTTAATATAAATAATAATTCTTAAATTGATAATAATAATAATAAATTAGCTGAAATGATAATATAATATAATATTAGGGGTGTAACGGTACACGTATTCGTACCGAACCGTTTCGGTAATATACTATAATAATGCATCTGCAATGAAAATAAGACTGAATTTATGTTATCATAATTTGTTTAGCCCACAGTTAGCCTACTATACTATATTACATAAATTAAATTTGGTTATAGTTTAGGCTGCTTAACAATGTTACGTCATATTCTTAACGAACAACAAGAACTATTATTATTATTATTATTATTGCTGCTGTTGATATGGTTATAAAGAATGATAAGAAATATAATTTGTTAACCTAACTGTAGGCTGCATAAATAAACAAATGATGGTCATTGGTCACATGAATTAAATTATTAAGCATGTCTTGTTCAATCAGATTTTAGAGGTGGGACTATCCGTTTTATAAACATTCAGTTTACTTTATCTTGGCAATTCCTTCTAGAATATATGTGCCTATACCTATATTGCTTTGCTTCCTTTGAGCCGTTTCAGTAACTCAGTATTTTCATTCCAGTTGTTATTTAACCCTAGATTAACTGTAAAATGGCAGAAACCTCCATATTATGCTGAGCTAGTCAAAACTCAGTCCAGCATTCAAATCCCGTTAGTTACAAACAGTCACATTCATCTTTCACCGCGCGTGAATATTTGGAGTCAGCTCTGTGTGAAGCTCATTCAGCTGAGGCTCTTTGAACACTTCTGTTCATGAATGGTGAACTGCGGAGACAGGAAATATCCCGCATAATCTAGACCCTAAAAGTCAACAGACACGTGTTTCCAATTCCCTTAAAATGTCAAGGTCAGAAAAAGCACACAGTGATTACTGTGAGAGCTATAGAAGTGCCCCTCTTCTCAGTTTTTATGGGCTATTTGAGCTCTGGAGCGGCTCCTAGCTCCTGATGCTACCCCGTTACAACAAAGCAAGGACGTCCGTGTGAATCTCCTCCAGGTTTTATGACGGATTTGTGGTTTGTGCTGCTGGTTTTAGATCCACATATGAGAAAATAGTATCATACACAGTAGCCCAGTTCCCAGTAATTGTTTTTCCCCCCACTGTCAACTTTGGATTTTTGAAGGTTTGCGAGAAGAAATTTCCAAAATAAAGTCAATTGAATGTTTATAAAATGGATCGTTCCACCTCTAAAATCTGAACACAAGCAAGCTTAATTTAATTATTGTGACCATCACTTGTTCAGCCTACAGTTAAGTTACCAAATTATATTGCTTATCATTCTTTATAATTACCATAACAACTACATCAATAATAATAATAATAACTATTATTTATTTATTTACTTTTGATTAATTTGTTTACTTCTTGTTTATTCATTTCAATTCAGTTCAATCTATTATTATTATTATTATTAGTTTGAGAATTAATGTTCATATTAACAATTTATTTATTTATCTTTGAGCATATGGTTATGAAGTATATTATAGAGTCTTTCTGAATTGTTTCAAATTAAGCACCACAAAAATAAGAGAACGTAAATAGTGATAAAATTCATTTAAAGATGTACAGTAAGTGTGACGTGTGTATGAGCAGACATCTTCTAACCAGCATGCACCTTAGTGAAGTGAAGGCAGTTGGTGGCAGCAGTGAGTGAATGACGTGATCTGTTTGTTCATCTATATTCGCATCTGTCTTTTTTCATACTCTCCTCCCCTCTCTCTCGCTTTCTCTCTCCCCCTGATTTTCTTTCTTACTCATGCATGCTCACCTCTCACGCTTTTCCTGTCATTCACTCTCTTCCCTCACACTTTTCATTTCTTTCTCTTTCTATCCTCATCCCACCCACTCATTCCCTCACCTCCTCTGTGTGTGTGTGTGTGTCTCTCTCTCCCTCAGTTCGTCTTTCATTCCATCTTCCCCATTCAAAGCCTGTCTGATCTCTGAGTTCAAGAAGCATTTGGTAATTTTTTTTTCAAACAGAAAGACTGGTATGAGTCGTGTTCTCCTGTGTTCACTTCCTGTCACATATACATACAGTACATGCACCTTCACATATGTACATAAAACCATAGATATGTATAGGTAGATGCCTTATTAGTAGCTGTTTCTGTGGCCTGATATACAGAAGCCGTCTGCCATATTTGAACGCTCAAGAACAAGTTGACTGTGTCTGCAACCGTAGTAATACGCATAAATGCATATCTATATCTGCAGTAGACTTCAGCAGATGATTTTTCCAAACTATCACAACAGCACAAGACGAAGCGGTTAGCTAACACGACATAAAAAAGTTACCATAGTTGAAAAACCTGTAATACAGAGTTGATGCATATTAAAAACACAAACCAGCACATTCTTACATGTGAAAGGTTATCTCATTTCTTCAGGAATTTAAATTGCAGTGGGTTTTACAACCAGAGGCCGGGCAACGTTGTGGCACAACTCATTGATTTTTATTGTGAGTGACGACACGTTAACCGTTCCGAGATGGCGGACGTGTCAGTGTGTCTAGAGCGGTCGAATGTGGCATCTACCTATACATATCTATGCATAAAAATACACAAAATGTGTTGCTATGGTGTTGTTGGTGGTTTCTTATTGGCACAAATTAAAAGAACACACTGCCAAGTCTTGAATGTTCTTATCTCTAGAAGTGGCTCACATTTCTTCCCTTTTTAAGTCTAAAGTTGTGGCCACATTAGCAAAATTTTGGTGATTTCATGGGCAAAAAGGTCAATTGTCTGTTATCAGTAGTGTAGCAATGTATGAAGCACAACTTGCACAAAAAATCGTTTGCCATTATGTGACCATTCGTTCAACAAAGGTAAATGGGGCCACACCTTAAGTATTTTTTATAGGTGAAAATCGCTAGTCTGATCACCTAGAAAAGCATACGTTATTATATGTTTATCTTCCATATAGAAGTATCATGTAAGGACACACACAGATCTCCATGTTCAGACCAGGTTAGAGATATGTAGATGTGCACATGTTCAGACGTTTAGTGTAAACTGCAGACGTGCCTTCTGGACCAGCGCCACGGTGGGGCTGTAAAACACCAGTTCAGTGATGGGAGCCAAAGTCATTGTGACGCATTTCAAGCGGCTGTAAATCCAGCAACACAGTCATGCCAGGCAGACAGTCGGCAGTGCAGATGGAAGTGGTGGGGTTGAGCAGGAGAAATGCTGGTGTCTGGGATATTTTTCACATTTTCACATTTCATATTTACAGATAAGACCTGTTCACAACAGGAAAAATACCAACAAAGATAACAATAACCTTGTTAGCATCCACACCAATAGACAATAATGTTTTGTTTATTTTTAGCATGTGGTGTGGTTATGTAGTCTGTTGCTTTAAAAGCTTGAGTTCTTTGAAGTCGGGTGGATTCTGTTTAGTCAATGTTTTTATTGTTCATCAGCTGGAAAAATTTGCTCTGAAAGTGATTTCAACATTATTGTTCCTGTTTGTCATTAGCGTTTATTGTGGAATTTACTATTAGAATGTATAACTTTATCGTTCTAATTGAACAGGTGTGAACAGGCCTTTACACTGATGGGGTTTATTTATGATTAATAGTAACCTTTTCCGAATTTTGTAATAACATCTTTCCCAGCTTGCTTAAAGTTTGCAAACTTTGTCATTGATATAGTGCTGCAGCCGTGACGTCAAAACCTAGAGGACTAATTTGCTACTGGTATCTTTGAGATTTTCCTAAGGGTTTTTTCATTTCATAAGTAAAATAAGATCTGCGATAAACCTAATTTGACGATACTTTGACATTTTGTTCTACAATGTAAACTGCACACACTCACACCCCAAACATTCTTATGTAGGTACTTATTAGAAACATCTGTTTTATAAAATAAACATAATTGCTTCAAAATTCGTGTTTTACAGTATTACAGTATTACAGTTTTACAGAACATCAAAGTATCATCAAGTTATGTTTACCACAGACCTTATTTTACTCATGAATTGAAAGAAAAAAAAAAACATTATAAAAACCAATAGGAAAATCTCAAGGGAAGCATTGGCGAATTAGTCTTCCAGGTTTTGACGTCACGGCTGCTGCTCTTTAAAGTTCCTGCTCAAACACGTTGAGGTTCTCTTAGGGGAGGTTTGGTTTATATTACTAAACTGTTGTCAGTATTCGAACTATACCGTGGACTTTGGGGGAGCCAAAGGTGTTCGTGCACTTGTGCGTGCCTCAAAAGAGGGCTTACAATGACTTACAAAGATACATAACAGCTACAAGTGTATGCACTACTTGCTTTATGCAAGCACTATATTGTTGTTCCACATATGTACACCAACAGGGAAGCTATGGGGCCATGGGTGGGTTTCTGAAATCTGTCTTCGATTAAACGCATTAGCAGAGAACAAAAGGCTTTCCTTAGTATGTGGCACCTTGCATCTTACTTTGATAGTGGCCACTTGTCCATAACGCCAGTATTAACACTGCCACAATAATGTTAGCTGTTCTTCTATAGTTTCAAGAGCGCTCTCCAGCTGCTTTGAGGTGAGATAAACTCAGTGGCCACCCACTGTGTTCTTAATATTCTTGTGTATCAAGCCGCCATGAACTTTCCTCCTCATTAGCAAAGGAAAAGGGGCTCAAAATTCATGCATGCACTTTCATGTAAGCTAATAACAACAAGCTAAGCAAACACAGCTCTCATACAGTTTGTCAAAAGGTCTGACTCATTACTAACAACAAATACACAGTACCATGTTTTGATAGTACCATGAAATACCATTGTTTTCTTACGAAATACCTTGTAAAATAACTTGGTGTGCCGTCATTTGCAAGTCGCTTCAAGTAAAAGCTTGTAATGAATGAAGTTAAATACAAATACTGTGGTACTTCTATAATAATTTACTAACATGGTATATATCCAAGTACAATCTGATTTTAATCTTTTACCATGGTAAATGGTTTATTAAATAAAAACACTATGTCCGATTGACTTCATAGCTGAAGTTGAGAGTTGATTCATTTCTGGCGAAGTTAAGCTGACAGTAGACTTATTAATGCTGTTGAAAACTTTTCCTTATTTTGGAACAACGAGCTCCTTCTGGAGCCTGTTTGCCAGAATATGTTTGCTTCTTTTTAATAGCTTCTCTTCATTCGCTTGGCTGCTGAAATGAGGAAATGCATAATAAATGGTTTCTGTTTTTCACTGTTATTGTTGTCAAGTCAAGTTTATTTGTACAGCGCTTTTCACGATACAAATCATTGCAAAGCAACTTTACAGCAAATTAAGTTTCTACAATATTTAGTGGTAGCTTATCAGTGGTGACTGTCAGTTAATGTACATATGGCAGAAATGTACGGAAAAATCAATTAAAGACGTAATAAAACAGACGATGAACACTATTAACAGCAATTATTGCAGGTGCATCTCAATAAACCAGAACGTCGTGGAAAAGCCCATCCACCCCAGCAACTCAACTCAAACTGCGAAACCCGTGCACCAAATAAATTCAATGCACACAGACCGAAGTAGTCCAAGTCCCTGGCTCCCCCAATCGTGATGACCATGGCTCACATCCAACAAAAACCCACCAACTCACCATCCCAACAAATCAGAATATGGTGACATGCCAATCAGCTAATCAACTCAAAACACCTGCAAAGGTTTCCTGAGCCTTCAAAATGGTCTCTCAGTTTGGTTCACTAGGCTACACAATCATGGGGAAGACTGCTGATCTGACAGTTGTCCAGAAGACAATCATTGACACCCTTCACAAGGAGGGTAAGCCACAAACATTCATTGCCAAAGAAGCTGGCTGTTCACAGAGTGCTGTATCCAAGCATGTTAACAGAAAGTTGAGTGGAAGGAAAAAGTTTGGAAGAAAAAGATGCACAACCAACAGAGAGAACCGCAGCCTTATGAAGATTGTCAAGCAAAATCGATTCAAGAATTTGAGTGAACTTTTTGTGTATTCTCCAACTGTTGAATATGTATGTGAGTGGCATGAGTTTAAATAGAGTTTGTCAATCTCTCTCTCTCTCTCTCTCTCTCTCTCTCTTTCTCTCTCTCTCTATCTCTCTCTCTCCTTTTCCCAATTTTCTATTTAAATTCAGAATTTATTTCAGTGTTCAATTTCAACGTACTTGATTGGCATGAACATTTTAAATATAATATTACCCAAGCATCAATGCACACACACAAAAAAATACAAAAATCATTTTAAAGAATATCAAATATTTCCTTTTAAGAATATTGAATTAAAAATATTAAAAGTAGCCTAATCCCCCCCCCTCTCTCTCTCTCTCACAGCCACTAGTTCAGCTCACCTGGAGGATCTTGCGTATCTGGATGAGCAGAGACAGGCTCCACTGCGCACATCTTTGCGTATGCCACGACAGAACTCCGGTTCCAGCCGCTCTGGACAAGCGGACATGAGAGGTATGTATATTTTTTCTAGATTTATTACATGTATGTGACCACATATACATTTTTCTCTTCCACTCTTCACTTGTTTCACTTCACCACCACCTTGTACTGTATATTACCAGTCACAAGTGTAGACAGTAAGTTAAGTCACAATTCTTTATATAGCGCTTTATACAATACAAATAGTTTCAAAGCAGCTTCACTGTAATAAAGAGGAATATAGCAGTATTAATGTTGCAGTGTTCTTCAATTTTGAAACAAACACAATTTTAGTTGTAAAGCACCTCTAAAAAGACAATAGTGTCATTATTCAGCTCCGTTTAGTTCAATAACAGTGTGAGTATTGCAAAGTTCATTAGTTATGAAGCAAACTATAAAGCAGCTCTATAAGATAATAAAACAAAGAGAAAGAAGGATGGAATTATTATTTATTGACCAAAAATGTAAATCAAAGCATTTTTTTTATTATTCAGCAGCTTGTTGGTGGTGTTGCTACTTATTTTGCATGCAAAGTGAAAAGCCAATCATAACAGCCATCACTTACATATAAGGTGCAGTAGAAATACAGCCATCTTAGTCTGAGAGAGGGTGGAAAATGGTCATTTAAATCTAAATTATGACTGATTTTTGGTGGCAGAACCTTGATTAACATTATAAGTGGACTTTAGGGGAAACAAAAACAGAATTCTACAAAATAATAGAATATGTTCCTTTTTAAAATGAATCTCTGCAATGTAATGTGTGTGTCTTGCCTCTCGTACATCTGCTCTCCGCTACACACAGCATGTCCCATTAAAACCCTCAACACACATGGCAGCTCTTCCGCGGATCACTCTCCCCCCTCGTCCTGCTGTGCTCGGTTTCCCCTTTGGACTGCCGTGCCGTAATCTGTCTCCTGTCCAGATCGATGTATTGACTTCCTATTAGCATTAGCTCTGGCTCATCTGTCAGAGCTCAGCCTGCTGTCTAAAGCTCACAGTCAAGGCTCCACACATCCTAAATCATGCCAGGTGGGAGCGAGCCTTGGAGGTCTGGGTTTCCTCTCAGATTCATTCAGAACTCCAATAGCTTGAGCCACAATTCACCAAATAACCCGTTTAGTTCAGGAAGACTGCAAGGTGACAAAGCAGTGGAGGTAGACTGTATCTGAGTGTTTATTTATACACCCTTTTCACATTTCCGAGGTTCTCGGAAGCGGAAGTCATCATAGTTGGGTAAACCTCTATAGTGGTGACCGAAATCTACAACAGATATCATTTTTGTGTTTCCATTTGATCCAAAAACAAAAGAACAAATCCACAATAGTGTTTCTATGACCTTACAAAAGAGGAAAAAATAGAGAAAGATGTCAAATTTGCCATCAATTCCTCTGCCGTTGTATTAGAAACCCTCATGCAGTAGCGTTAACTAGTTTTCTGTAATTTAATGCCATACAACACAAAATGTAGTATTATAAATGTATATTTTTAAAATGAAAATGTAATAAAATAATGGCTGGATTTACAATGTTAAAGGGGTCATATGATACGATTTCAAGTTTTCCTTTCTCTTTGAAGTGTTACAAGCTGTTCGAGAATAGATAAGATCCCTAAAGTTGCAAAGACTAAAGTCTCAAACCCAAAGAGATATTCTTTATAAAAGTTAAGACTCGTCCACAGGGTTGTCAGGTTTTCACAAGAAAACCTGCCCAATCGCTACTCAAAACTAGCCCAAAACTAGCCCAATTGCGTTTCGAGGGGGTCTCCAGTTAATTCCAGGGGGTAAAATACACGTTTTTTTGGCGGGGTTCCCCTGCTAAAATTCGCATTTCAGGGGATAAATATCCTGTTATTGGAGTCGCTTCAACCGCAGACTTGGCAACACTGCTCGTCCACGCCCTCCTAAAACGGCTCGTTCTAACACGCCCCCACATGTCTACGTCACTGTGTGGGAAGATTTGCGTAACACCGCCCAAATGTTCACGCAAAGAAAGAAGGAGTAACTTTATTGTTGCTGCCGCCGCCGCCATGTTGTGAAGACGC